ATAATAATGCTGTAACATGATTTTAAAATGTAACAATAATAATAATAATAATAATAATAATAATAATAATAATTATAAATAGAGTTTTTCAATAGCCTTTTCCTGTTTCCCCTAGTTTCTTTTGACTGTCTATTGACTTTTTTTTTTTTTCTTACCAAGTTTTTAACCCATGCTTTTGAAAGAAATTGCGCCAACTTGCTCAGGGTTCAAAGGTTTAAACACTTGGACAATGACACAGCATTTTTTTCAGACAGACAAATCAGGAGAAAATTAACTTTGTTCAAGACATGTCTCTGTTGATGTGTGATCTTACACTCTGTTGATATTAGACATTAAGCTAGCAGATAAAATGAGCATCAAAATAAGGAACAAACATGAAAAATTCTTTCATTTTTACGGTATATAGTGTTGTATTTGAATCTGATTTCATCCATCCACACCACTGACTGTATATGAAGTCTATTATCCACACAAGATTTACTACACTTCATAACAAGGTGGGGGTATGTGGGGGAGAAACAACCACGCCCACTTAGGAGACAGGAAGTGCACACCATTTTATACCACTGGGGCAGCTTGTAGTGGGATATCTTCTCTTAAAGACTATCTTTGCTGAGTCTTCTCACCCAAGTTGTTTGCTAAGGTGTTAGCTGTAACATTGCCTAAACTAATTTAATATTTCAGGATTGTGCATTTGTTATCTTGTTTGAGTAGTTCTTCTGCCCCCAAGTGGCAATACAATAATAAAGAAATAAAACATTAATTAATGGAGCTTCATTCAACTTTGAAAATCAGGACTTAAACCTTATACTCATTATTTAAGTTAATTTAAAGTTCAATTAACTGGAGTGGAGACCCAGCACAACAAAATACGTAACATTGCTAACTCAATGTTACTTGATTATCACTTCACAGACTATGTTAAATTCACGCAGCTAGCTTAGTCAAAAGACTAGAGAAGCACTCAGGGAACTAATAACCAGGTAAAGTATAATTATATACCTATGGTATGCACCAGCCGAGCAACCCCATTCGAATAAAGAGGCACCATCTTAGCATCCAGGATCTCAGAGTATGTCTCCAATTACATTAGTACACTTCAATGTAGTGCATTATGTACACTACCGCCATCTTGCGTAGTGTATTAATTTCAGCAGTATAGTGTTGTCTCTTAACAGCGAATTTCAAACAGATGTTGGAACATTATTACCAACATTTGACTGCTATCTCTGCCCACACATAAACCAAACTCACGCTACGATGTTGATGCTAATTAAAATGCACTGCCAAAGCTAGGACCAATTAGCTAGCTAGCGAATGCTAACGTTAGCTAGCAAGCTAACGTCGGCACTCACATTATTGGTTGCAGTACTACATAATTACAGACCCAACAAACACTACTGGTGGCTTCTATTCGACAACAGTATTGGTACTTAGTGCAAAAAACATGTATAACTTACATCCATATGATGCGGTGGTGTTCACTGTAGCCACCTCAGGCCCCTTGACAAAAGTTGAAAAGTTTATGAAGTAGCTTCCACTATGTCACAAAGATGGCGACTGTTGAGGGTGAGAAGTGTCCATCATTCCACACTCAACTTTTGAATGTTTTTAGTGCACAGTAAAACACAGTATTTTCCCATATTATGCAGTGTAAGTGCACTTTTGTATTCAAAATATTAAGTGTTTAGTATGCGATACACTGTGGGTATAATTATAAATCTGAGTTAAACCTATAGCAGTTATCGTTAAATACAAAAATCATTTGTGTCTGTACCTTTAAAAGTTTGCGGCATCCTCCAGTTTTCAGCTACAACTGTGAGCAGTGGTCAAAACAACATGCAACTATTACTTTGACGAGATGTCTGATTCTTGACTTCCTTGTTCGATACAAATATGAGATATTCGATGCAAATATATATTAATTATCAATCAATCAATCAATCCATCTTCAATGTACAAGTTGGAGGCAATCTTCATTTGGCCATTTGGTGAGAAAAATAAAATTAAAAAAAGCATTGCAGTCACTTCTCTGTTTTAGATAAAACAATTGAGAAGAGGGTACACAAGATGGTAATGACAGCATTAAGCATTAATCGGCTACCACAGTATGGTAGATGGCAAAAAGAAGCAACTTCTTTCACATCGACTTTTATTTTGAAAACTTAATCGGACTTCCTGTTTCTTCCCCGCACCGCACCAACGTTATTATTTGAGGCTACGCTGTAACAAGTGGACTTGACAGTTGGTTGTTGATGCGCTGCTGGTCGCCACGAAGGTCAGCTGCAGATAAAATGGCTTTCCTAATGAAATTCTGCACTTTGATCGTGAACGTGTTATGCTTGCCTCTTCATCTGCTCCAAGCTGTCGGCCTGTATGAAATATACAAACGTTTCTTCCCTTTCTGTGTATACCGGATTTCAATAACGTACAACAAGAAAATGCGCGACAAGAAGAAGGAGCTGTTTCGCAGTCTCCCCGAGTTCAACAAGCCTGGAGGGCAGCTCACTATTCTGGAGATCGGCTGCGGCTCCGGCACTAATTTTGAATTTTATCCGCCGGGTAGCAAGGTGATCTGCACTGATCCCAACCCTCATTTTCAGAAGTATCTGGAGAAAACCATGGCCGAGAATGACCACCTCAAATATGAGAGATTTGTGGTGGCGTCAGGGGAGGACATGGGGTCAATTGAGAGCGAGTCGGTAGACGTTGTTGTCGCCACCCTGGTGCTCTGCTCGGTCAGCAACACGCCCCAGGTCCTCAGAGAGGCATACCGCATGCTGAGACCAGTAAGTTGTCTGGGATTGCTGAAATAACCAGTGGTTCACAGTAAATACATTAAAATAAACAGCTGATCTGCAGCCATGGCATTCATTTTTTCCATTAAGGCTACTGTTCAAATACAGTGCAACTGCTGGATTAATCATTCACCAGTGGAAATTACTAACTCACTAAACAAATAAGCTAAGAAGTAGATTTCAGTTTGTTTTTACATGATGATGGAAATCAGTGAAATGATCCCTCACATGTGCACCAGCCAAGCAGCATACTCATTATTTCATCTTGATTTTCTTGCCACCAGATTTCTAACTGTCTCTGATATCAATCGTACACTACTGCTGCTACCTTTGACCTGTATGTGTGTCAGCATTACATATATGAAACCAGATGGTGCCAGTGTGGTGTCATCAAGGTATATAGCCTATACATAGACTTCCACTTCTTAGAGTAAGGTTTAATTAAATATTCAGCTTAAGTGTTTGTATTTGACCAAAGGATACATAAAATGTATCAGAAAAGAAAACCATTTCTTCCAGGCAGGGGTGTGTCACCAGACAATGGTCCCCTGGGTACATATTTACAAAATGTCCCCACCTCTCCAGCATAGTGGCAAGACACACACACTGTACTGTTGTTTAGCCTCGTTTTGTGTCGTCATTTTGCACCTTTCCGTAGTCATAATGCATGTTTTTTTTTTTTTTTTGTGTCTCTTAGTTGTTGTTTTCTGTTTCTTTGAGGTCATTTTGTGTCTTTTTATGGTTGTTTTGCCCCTTTTTGGAGTTATTTTGTGGCGTGAATCTCACACCTCCCCGTTCTGTTTAAAAGGTGCAATTGCAGAATGGGGAGTTTTCTTGCCTTTAAGATGTCATCACAGGTAGTAACAGCGCCGAAACAATGTCTGTATAAATGGGATAGCCACCAGGACAAGATCAGGTGTGGCACGGAAGTGACATATTGATGACGTGTAATGTGTGTGACCCACCGCAGGAGATTTAAAAGTAGCTGATAGTAGTTAGCAGCTAACTCAAAGAAAAGGAACAGCTGCCAAAAATGTCCGCAAATTGGACAAACAGTGAGGTCTGGGAGCTCCTTACACGCCGAGCAAAGGATGACCGCTGTCTGCTAGCATGCCAACTATAATCACACGGGAGCAGCATGATGCCGCCATTGTTTAGTTCCGTGTAAAAATGCAAAGGTGGCATAAAGAAGGGAGTTTGTGGCAGCCCTATAGCACAATCTCTGTATAAAAGGAGCTAGAGTGACATTTTGCAGGTGGCCCCATTATACATCAGGCCCTGGGGTGGGGCCTGTCTGTGCCCGGTGGGCCCATTCAGTAATCTGTCTATGCTTCCAGGGATTAAAGTAACCAACATACATCAGGTTGAATGCATTAATTTTGAAGTTTGCACAATAACAAATCTTTGCTTTGCAGGGTGGAGCCTTCTTTTTCCTCGAGCACGTTGTTGCAGATCCCTCCACTTGGTCGTACTTCTTCCAGCATGTTCTGCAGCCTGTGTGGTACTACTTTGGCGATGGATGTGAGGTCACCCGGGAAACATGGAAACCCTTGGAGGCGGCTGGATTCTCTGAGCTCAAGCTGAGACACATCGAAGCGCCGCTCATGTTCATGATCAAACCCCACATCATTGGCCACGCTGTGAAATAAATCCTGTCTCAGTAGCTTTGTAGTAAGCTTGCTTCACAAGCAGTGTATGAATATGCCAAGCACTTAATGCCTCTCCTCTCCCTTGTGATATGATTGATCACCAGTGATAGAGATGACACCAGTCACTTTGATACTAATTTTTATTTTTGTATTGGAAAACAAGTTTTTGTGTTTTTGTAAATACACTTTATTTTTTAACACACTGTGAAGACATTAGAGAGCACAGAAGATTCATTTTGTAAGTGTTTGATCTCCTTTTTGTCTTTTCCCTTCTCTAAGTTGCTTGCCAATATATGAATATGATACTGCCATAGATAATCAGTGTTTGTGTGTGACTGCTGGATTCATTTGTACCTTTTATGACCTGACAGTATATATATATTTTTGCTGTTATTAATCTGACTGTGTTGTGTCTTAATGTGTGCGATTAAAGATTTAATCCTATGGCATGATTTCTGTTTTCTTATGAAACAAGTACTGATGTGATAAAGACAGGAAAGTAAAAACTGGGGGAGCTTGGACCCATTAGCCCCTCACACAGACCGGTGTGTCTGCGCCACCGTGTGGTAAAAGTGACGCATTGTCTCTCAGGTATTAAGCGCATAATCTTTTGATCTTGTAAAGTCGCCTGTCTTCAGATGCCCCCAGCAAGACTTACTTTAGCTCACAGTAAAATGAAGTCATGTCTTATGAAATTATGCAGACTGCTTTGTTCAGTGTTGACTTTACCCCTAGGTCTACTGGAGCTCACAGGCCTGTACGGTTTGTACAAACGCTTGTTTCCCCTGCTTGCCTACAATATAACATTTTCATACAACGATAAAATGCACAAAACCAAGAGGGACCTGTTCCGACACGTGGCCAAATTTGCAAACACCGACGGGACTCTTCGGCTGCTGGAGATCGGCTGTGGCAGCGGGGCCAACTTCAAGTTTTACCCGTACGGCTGCACGGTGACCTGCACCGACCCCAACCCGCACTTCGAGAAGTACCTGCGGATGAGCATGGACGCGAACATGCATCTGACTTATGATGCGTTCATGGTCGTCTCTGGAGAAGACATACAGGGGGTACGGGACGAGTCAGTGGACGTTGTTGTTAGCACACTAGTGCTCTGTTCTGTCAGTGATGTGCGGCGGGTGCTGCAGGAGGTCCGACGCATCCTCAGAACAGTGAGTGTCATTGTGCTGCTTTCAAGTGCTGTAGGGAATATTTTAATAGTGACTTCACGCACATTAATGACCTAAATGACACGGCTGGATTAACCTGTTAGGCTGGCATGGGGCACTAAACAAACCTAACCAACAACCTCTGCACTGCATGTATTGTATTATGTACACTGCTTACTCTGGTTGCCTGTTTTGTTTTTGTTTTGGCCAGAAACCAACCAAAAGACTACTCCAGTGACTCTCAATTACTGCACATAGGTCAGATCTGGCCTGCTAGAGAGTGCCTCCACCAATTTTGTAATTCACAATAAAAATGAATTGATTTACACTGGGATTTTTTGTGCTTTTAATGTAAATACTGTGCCAGAGTGCACTAAAAAGTAATAAATTAGAGTTGTTCAGTTAAAAATAAGTGCCAGGGGAGGGTCCCACCTAAGCCCTGAATGTCCTCAAATCCTAGAAACGCCCCTGTGTACCCTTGACCAGTGCTTGACTGCTCTGTCAGTCTCTGCCTCTTGACAAAGATGTGTGAGGAAAGCAATGTCGAAAGCTTTGAAACAGGCAATTTATCTATTATACAGTAGGCCTATATACTGATGAATACTGTAATTCGTTTATTAACTGACCCCTGGTCCTCTGTCATTTTGCAAAAGTGGCCCCCAGGCAAAGCAAGTTGAGCATCCCTGGCCTGGTCCTACTCTGGAATAATACCACCTGGTCTCAGGTTTTCTTTGTGTCAGTTAGTTGGAGGAAATAATTAAGGTACAACTATTCTCACAGGGCCCTTCCACATGATAATGCTACACGATTAGGTAATACCACCTTTGTTGAATTCTCATGTAAGTGGTGCAAATCCCAGTGTCCAAAAACAGTTAATGAACAGTGAATCTAGCTTTTCTGGGGCCCTCTGAGGGTCTGGTTCCACTTGGTAATCCAGCCTCACACGAGGTGAAGTGCAGAAGGTGTCAAGTAAAATGTCAGGCTACTTATTGCCAATATCAGTTCATTCTACATAAATAAGTAGCATTATGTGTGTAGATTAACACATTAACCCCTTCTTATTTTTCTGTTACACACACTGCATTGAACGCAGCAAAACAAACATTGTGCCGCCTACACAGTGTTTATTTTTACTGTCAGAAATTTGAATGATCCTTATCAGTTCAGAATGGTGAATCCACATCTGCTGGGTAACCTTCTGAATCATCATATACTATTTCCTGCTTCCTCCTGCCTCAGTCCTGATGAATAATTACATTTGACTGACCATTAAATGTTGTTGTTGTCCCTCTCCCGCAGGGTGGAGCTTTCTTCTTTTTGGAGCATGTAGTCTCAGATCCCTCCTCCTGGACGCACTTCCTCCAGCATGTGTTTGAGCCTCTGTGGTACTATCTTGGAGATGGATGCACGATAACCAGAGCAACATGGAGAGAGTTAGAGGCCGCTGGTTTTTCTGAACTTCACCTAAAACACATTGAGGCCCCAGAAGTTAGTCTCATGATAAGACCACATATCATGGGATATTCCATTAAATGACTGCATGGGGGAATGGGCAGACTTCATTGTGCCTCTTACGGGTTCATAATTATGAGAATTTTACGAACTACACGAACCACACGCAGCATTTACTGAATGAAAATATATTTATTTACTTACAGAATCAGCAACATTTCATACACCGTTTGTTCTTTTTCCCCACCCCTCCCAAGATGTACACAATAAATATAACCTGGACACTGTGCTTTTTTTCCCTGATTGTCGAAGTAACTGCCGAGGAACAACCCAACAAACCTCACTCAATGTCATCTTTTCTGTTACCCTTTATATTCCATTGCACAAAAAGAAGGAATGACAATTGTAACATCTCCTTATGGGGAAATGAGGGGAATTGCTGGTTCACAAAATAAACAGGAATTATGTCTGTGTGGTAATTATACAGTCAGAATTCTGCATATGCTGTTAGAAGATTAAAAAAAAAAACTCCAACAGCAACATTTTTAAAAACACAAGAAAAAAAAAAGGAAAGGGATACATTTACAAACTGAGACTCAAAGTTAAAGCTCACAATTTCAAACCTCCCAGTATTAAAAATGTACACAACTATAAATGTTATAGCATTAGCAAATTTTTAAAAAACAGCAGGTGGAAAAATGGCCAATTTCATTTTTTTTGTTTTGCTGAGTATATCTTACTGCCATCACAAGTCACTTTTATATCAAACAGAGTAAAAAAACAAAACAAACAAAACAAAAACAGGAGGATCTCAGCCTGAAATGAAGTGTTCCCAGAAACCCCTGTTCATGTCCAAATGGCTGAGCTGTGCCACTCCCACAATATGTCCCACTCCTCAACTTCTATTCAAACAGGTTATCCTGTTTTAACACAATAAAGGTCCTTTAAAGTTTTCAGTTCTTCGATCAGGGTCTTGTTTTGGTTTTCAAGAACTGCTACGCGGTTTTCGAGGCATTTGACATATTCCTTTTTCTTTCGTCGACATTCACGAGCTGCCTCTCTGAAAGAGGAACAAAAATGTGCAGTTAGTCCAAATGAAAAATTATGCAATGACCGCACCTACATTACATCACAGCGAACAGATTTGCCACTATTGCAACATAACGTTATATGTATCAATACTATAACAGTAAAATATGTGTAAGGTACAAATGTAATATAGCAAAGATACTTTACAATGAATTTGCAAAAATGTGCCTTTTTTTCTGAGCTCTACATAATTCCAGAAGGGGAGGCACTGTATTCACAGCGGCTTTACAAACTCTCACCGCCCGGCAGAATATCATACAGCCGTGAAAGGTGCCTTTTTGCGTTATATCTGATGCCAACATCACTGAGAAAGTGGCGGTATTTGACAAGTTGGGAATGAGAGCAGGCTGACTGTATCTGTATGATGAAATGATTTTTTATTTGTAAGTTGAGAGCAGAACATGTATCCTTTATTGCTACAGTAATGAAGAAGGAGCATTATTTAGAGTCAAGACAGTGTGCTTTTTACCTGTATCCATCTGTATTTATTCAATATTTGCCATGGTTAGTTTCATTGTAGACAAATAGAGTTTGATTTTCTTTGTCTGAAATGTCTGCGAGACGTGCCTTTTTTAGATTTGTGATAAACTGGACACTAACCTGTTTTTCGCAAGCCTGATTTCCCTCTTCATTGTTGGGTCGTCACTCTTGCCCTGAGGTAGCCCCACAGGAGAGGTCATAACTACAGTCTGAGGCAGGGAGCTGGATGTGGGCGCTGTGCGGATCTGGTATGTTTGCATCTCTCCTCCTGCACCTGAGGGAAACACAACAATCAAAAGATGGTAAAAGATGTCAGGAGCTTTGTTGTTTTCTGTGAGTTATTTTAGCCTTACTTCTATCTTTCTTCTGTCGCTACTGAGATGTTTTTAAACTTGTGTGAATGAAAAGCCATTGAATAGTTTACCTAAGAACAGGCTTCCGAAAAATGCTTAACGCTGAATTTAATTGCAATCTAATTATACTATTTAAAGTAATGCACTTTGCAATAAGGCCACATTTCAACTGTAATAACACTATAAACTAAGAATCTTGATTGAAGGCTTATCAGGCACAAAGACACCACGGAGCAGTTTATACTGCAGGATTTTACAGCCTCGGAAGGTAGTACTCACAGCAATATTGTCTCCATGCCTGTATGGTTAACAATAGAACTAGAGGCAGCATGCACCTCTAATTGACACAAATGTGGAGACTGTATTTTTTGCGATGTTGTCTGTCTGAATGTCTAACACATTTTGGCATCTGCCCAGTAGTCTATTGAAAAGTGACTACATTAGCAGATAAAATGGGCTTAGAAATCTTGGAAAATCAGAAACATTTTCTAAGAATATGACAAGTTTTGCTCACCTTGTACAACAACCTGGTTGCTAGGCACCAATATCTGCTGGCCGTCAGGTGTCTGGGCATACTGAAGGATGGTTGTGCTTGGCTGGGCTCCACCAGAGTTGGCCATGGCAACAGCTTGTAGACCCTGAATGCCTTCAGACCCTGGAGTCGCCAGCTGGATTGTGCCATTTGCAGCTATGGTAACTAAAATAATCACACAGATGGCATCAGAATTGAGTCAGGCACAAGGGAAAAGGAAAAAAAAAAAAAAAAAATCAAAAATCAAATTTCCTGCTGGCTATGTTAACATTTTTATGCGCTTGTTAAATAGTTTAAAAATATACAGACTTTTGAGGAATTTTGCCCATTTACTTTCAAGACGCACAGCTCTAGCATGAAAGCATACAATAAGTGCTATTACGTAACAATTGTAGTTATCACAGATTTTCCTTCCCGGAAATCCCACTTTTTTTAATCAATTCCATGGCCCACAAATTCATAAGATTCTCAATTTCAGAGGCCAAGTGACCCCACTTTGTGTGCCACTCTTTTTAATGTACTATTGGAGGGTGACGTTCTTACTGTACTGGCCGGAGCTGGTCTGGTAGATTTGTGGGGCGGCTGCTGTCACTCCTGTGGTTGCTGGACTGTTAGCCTTTCCCTCAATGTGTGTCACTTCCTCGGCTGAAAGATCATTTAGGATTTTTCTAGAAGAAGAGAGGAAAAGGGACATCTGAGTTAGTATTCATAAGATTGTTTATGTGTCAAGTCTGTGCTTGTGGTTATTCATTTATTTATTTGTTTGTTTACTTGTATGAAGGCCGTCTTGCCAGTATTTCTCTGGTCTTTTGGGCTGCAGCTCCACTGTCTGAAGAGTCCTGTGAATCATCACTATCTGAATCCAGGGCCTTGAATGAGGGAGGTGGTTTAAAAGGTGCATGTGAGTAACTGTATAAAATGGCATATTAACAGTTTGTAAAAAAAACAACCCATGAATTAAACATAGGTTAACATTTAAAAAAACAAAACAATAATGTCAACGTAAAGAAAACCAGGTGGTCTCACCTGTGCAGTGTGCACTGGAGGGGACTGAATGACTGACTGTGCAGACTGGATCACTCCTTGAACCTGAAACTGACCCCCTGGCAGCTGTACAACAGCCACAGAACCACCACCCAGTGACATCTGCAAAAAACCAAACACATTTTTAAACCCACAAAACAACAACATATTTATCATGACAACTGCATCAATTAGTGCGTGCAAAAAAGTGAGTTCCGAACAAAAGCTCATTGAGACTAAATGTGCATAAAAAAGACGGCTATATCATAAAGCCAGAAAATCTGCATGACACAATATTGCAAGGGATCTGTGGAATGAATCCGTTTTTACGTCTGGAATCTCCCGTCTACAACGGGCATGAGACGTGCCCTCGTTTAAGGACTTGGCTCAGATTCCGGAGTTACTCCATAAGGTATCTGATCCCGTTTGAGTCGGCGGTGGGAACCTCTTGCGATAATCGACGATGTGTAATTTGGGTGAACTGATTATTTAAAATCTACTTTTAGAAACCTTCTCACTTTATCATTTCATCTAAGTGCACACACAATGGGTCTAGTCATAATATGATGTGTTCATTTACCCTCATTTACAGTTTTTAAGAACAATTTCAGTCCATAGAAGTTGAGAGCCACTATCTTAACAGATGCTATGAATTCAGGCAGGAACTTAAGGTCCTTAAGTAATAGAACGTCCTCATCGTCATACATCGACAAGTAAGTAAGAAAGCAACAGAGGAGTAAGACTCCCACAAGAAGACTAGTCACACTAAAATCCAGAGTTACTAATCCCTCCCTTAAAATTGACAGCTAAGACTGTTCAGTAGGTAGTTTCGTTAAATGAATCCTTCACCCACAAAATGATCATTTGTATATAAATTACCTAACCGATGTTACCTTAAATTTGAGAAGAAAACTGTTTTTCTTACATGCCTCCACGGTTAACAAAGAATCCAAATACAGAGAAAATTCTTGATAAATTGAAGAAAAGGGAGGACGTGGTTAAAAAAAGCAAAACTTTATCAAAACATCACTTTACAAAATCTCACACAACTTGTGCAGTGTAATCCAAGTTTCATTTAACCAGTCATATGCTAGGTGCTTCCCAACCCACAGACTGTATACAAAGATGGACAACATCTCTCCAACTGAACTTGAACTGTGCTCAGATATTCCATTGAGCAGAGTTCAAAGGCACGAGCTGGCCCAAGCATCCATGCATGAGAATGTTTACGCGGACGTGGTTTAGAATGCACGTACTGAGCACACAACTGAATAAATAAGATTTGGCTCGTAGCGTGAGAGTTTACTGACAGATGTTTTGAAATAGTTTTGCTGTTAAAAGTGGCTACCCTTTGCTGCAATCCAGCGAGTATTTTCTCTGTTTCTGGATTCTTTGTTCGCCCCAGAGGCATGCAAGGAAAACAAAGTTTAATCACAAATTAGAGAGACCACAGGGTGAAAAACTGTAATACAAATGGTCATTTTGAAGGTGAAGTATTCCTTTATAGACATTATTTATATCGGATAGCGAAAATAAGCACTATAACTACTTCAAAAGTGACTGAACAGATTTCTTCATACAATTTTTTTGCATGCTGTGCAATTATTAAAGATATGGTTTCAATCCTAATTGTCTGTGTCTACCTTTGCTGATAAAGGCTGACAAAATATGAGCTTTACGC